AAAAAAAAAAATACACATCTTCAGATTCTTTCCTGAAAGAGGCCAAGCCCTTTCATTAGCGAAAGTGAGTATACATAACGTATATTCCTAGAATACCATAAACAATTGATGCAAAAGGAGTATCATACGGAACGAGTTGATTAGTTTAGCTACACATAAAGTTATTGTCTTAAAATTTTAATTCAAGTTCGATGAGAGACTTATCTTCTATCGAATTTTCAGAAGATCAATTTCATGTAAAGTTCAGATTCAACTAAATCATGCCACGTGCAGCTGAATCCCAAAAAAAAAAAAATAAATAAATAAATAAAATAAAAAATAAAAAATAAAAAATAAAAATAAGTAACAATAATCTATCAGAGTTCATCTCCTCAGAAGACCAGCTGCGTTTTCTTGTTACACCTAACATCCTAAATCACCCTAACTTTTCAAAAGATAGTTGGCCTCTTATCTAACTAATATCTTTATCAGTGCTCACCAAGAAAGAAAAAAAAGGGGTTCTAAACAAATCTACTAGGTCATAGGAAGTTAACCTAATTAATACTTTCAATTACATCCAAGCAAAATCCAAAACACTTCTCATCAGTTTAATCCCTATAAATATGCCGCCGGAATTGTCATTCAATATCGAACACAAGATTCCATAAGCCAAGAAAAAAGGGAGCAATCCAAACCCAGATTTATCAATCAAATGGCATCCTCAAAGTCTTACCTTGTCTTACCTTTACTCGTGGTGATATCAATCTCGAACCTCCACGTCAGCTGGGGGGCCCGCAACCTGTTGCAAACTTCTCAACCGGCACTGCCCACAATCCCTTCACTGCCTAAGCCCACACTGCCACTGCCCACCATCCCCAACTTCCCAGCCGCCGCCACACTGCCTCCATTGCCTACACTACCAACAAATCCATCCCTTCCCCAGTTGCCAACACTGCCGACACTGCCTACTGCCATTCCTAAGATGGCTCTGCCTCCACAGCTTGCAGCCTCACTTCCTACAATGCCTTCTTTCCCGACCCTCCCGACTACCATTCCATCTCTTCCTTTCCCCTCATCACCGCCCTCAAACTAGTATGTGCCACATCATCATTTGACTGCTTATCGTTTTCGTTCAGTATCTGATTGTATTATATTATCGAAGTGTTGCGTGATGCCATCATGTTCATCGGATCTTGCAGTAGTTCAGTTCACTTTGAAATGTTCCAGATGTGGGTTACTTCATCTTGTGTTTCATTGGTGGTTGGTATTGTAATCTTTGCATCTCTGTGTATGTTATTTTCAGTGATACATGATCTCTTGTGAATCAGATTATGCCATTTGTTTCTTTTCTCGTATCACCATTGATCAATATGAGCTTCTACAGAAGCTTGCTTTGCCCAACTTCATCTGTTACTGATATATTTTAGTTCCTCTACTATTTATCAGCCTGAGACAAGGTAAATAACCGATTAAGAGGTACTTGCAAGATCTCAATATCAAGTATAGAATAATAATGAGAAATTATTTAAAAATTTTAAGTAATGACAGTTACTCAGCAGTAAACAGCAATTTCCATTAACCAACATAGTAGGGACATGAGGAAGTCAGGTACAGGACAGTAGAGAAAATCTCTATCATTAAGTTGTGACACATGGAAAATCACGAGGAAGGCCGGAATTTTCTGGCAGTCAAACTGTATCACTTTCTATGCATCTAAAAAAAGTACTCATAATAGTGAAACATTTATTAACAACCTTGTACAAAGGCCTCCTGTTGCTGGATTGATACACTTCAGTGTATACAGAAAATATATTTCCACAGTACGTATGATGGAAGATCCTCAGGTTACAATAGCACGGAAACCAAAATTCCAAACGCAAACATAAAAATTTCAGATCAGTCTTTAAAATACAATATAATGGGCACAATTGTAACTGCCTCTTAGAGCTTCTTCCAAAATCTGTGCCTCGTTACTTAAAAAGTCGAGTGAAAATAACATTGTCTTTTCCGTTATCATAAGTCGTAACCTCCCTGATGGCCTCAATATAAACTATAAAACAGAAAGCACCGCAGGCAGGCAGCAACAGGATAGAGTTAATAAACTTCATGTCAATGCCACTCTACCAATGACAAATTCCACTTGGATAGTAAATAAAGAAAAACTTGAAAAAGAAAATGCACACTCCACATTTCCAAAACTCATTCCTCAAATTCAATATGAAAGCAAGTCTTCATTGCCATAACATACAACAAAGATATTCAGAAATCTGATACCAACACCAAGGACATAAAAAGATTGTATCTTTCTTGCAATCATTGAGCAATACAAACCAATGAGCATAGATGCGGGCCCACACAAGTCAACCTGCGACTTTGCATATATCCTCATACTCGACGGCCTTGAGAATCCTCCCATCATATATCCCCTTCTCGATCTGCACCTTTGCACAGAACCTATCTGCATCAATAGCCAGCAGCCTTGCCCGCTCCCCACGGTACGCCCCATTCACTATCCTCACAAGCCCTCCTATCTGCGGAAGGACAGTCTCGAGCTCTTCCTGATCGATCCCCAAGATGTGCTTGTTCTCGAGCATCTCAATCTCCCCGTAATATTTATCAATCACCCTCCTAACGACACCCTTCTGCTTATAGTACCCTTTATCCGCCAAAGTTTTGCTCATGACTTTCACGATAATACCCTCACACAGCCAGTAATCCTTACGGTTGCTCCTCTCTTTCGCTTTTTCCTCTTCCTTCATCAGCTCCTCCAAAGCCGATGCATTCTTGCTGGAACTCTCAACTTCCCTTTTCCTTTTCCCGCTGTTAGTGCTCTCTTCAGGCTCCTCGTCAAACAAAAGCCTCGAATTATTATTCTCTCTGTTCTTTTTCAAAGCCCCCAGACTAAGCTTAATTTTCCTTTCGCCCTCCTCGCCATTATTTTTCTCCAGGATTCTGGGTTTAGTTGCTGCTTCATCGTTTTCCGATCTGGCCGAGGTCGTCGGGTTCATCTGCTCGGCCCGCTCGATCTGCCTCTGGATCTCCTTCTCCATTTTCTCCTCATCGGCGAGATCGGCCTTGATCCGCTTGTTCTTTAAGCGCTCCTTGAACATGGTCTCCGAGTCACGATCGATGTAGGTGATGAACCAGCCCTTGGGGGTCTCCTCGACCTTGCACTTGCCCGTGCGGCCGAGGTGCTTGACGAACTCGGTGAGGGTGGCCCACTGGGTGGAGTTCATGTGAACGTGGTGGCGATCGGAGATGTACTCGTTGTAGACGACGGTGGCGGCGATGCGGCTGAATCGGTGGCTGCGCTTCATGTGTTCGAGGAAGGTGGTCTCGAACTCCTCCGAGTAGCCGCTGACGATGCGGGTGGGGTTCTGGCCGAAGACATGCATCTGGCGCTGGTGGGACTCGCTCATGCAGTGGCACTTGAAACCGTTCTCGTCCCGGCATTGCTTCTGGCACATCTGGCAGTACCACCGCAGCTTCTGGAGGCCCTTGGCCTTGATCCGATTCGCGATCGCCTTTGGGGTAAGGAATTCGTTCTTTCCCATGAAGAAATTTTGGGGGATGGATTTGAGGGGATTTGGATTAGGCTAGGGTTTGAGCGATTTTGATTTTTTGGGTTCACAGTGATTTTATGACGGGATGATGGCAGGCTCAGAATCTCAGATGTTCGGTGATTTCAATTCTATAACTATAACTGCAACGATTACAACTTTCGACGGAATGGATGCCAATTAAGGTAAAATTATATCTAAAAACTTCACGAAAGAAATTGTATCAACTATTAAGAATTTAATAATAATATTTTTAACAGCATATCATAATAAATTTACACAAAGTGACACATAATCTAACAAATTTAAGTTTTCACCTAAAAATTGAACATTTTTATTATTGAGTCATTGGATGACACAACTTATATAATCATCCATATTTATTTACAAATAGTATATCGATACGTGTTCTACAATAAAATACACTTTAAACAGGTGTCAATACATTACGTGACGAATGACTCCATAATAAAGTCATCCAATGACTCCATAGAATTTATGAAACATTGAAAGCTTACGAAATGAGCAATTGGATAATTGACACTTAATAAAATAGGATTGACGGTTTTAAAAATTTGCAAATAAAATCATAGAACTTTGGCATGCATTTCAATTGCTTTCAAAATATGATCCCACTACTATTACAATTGGCCAAAACTTGTAACCAAAAAAATATAAAAACATTTGTAACATTTTATTAAGTTGAGTCTAACCGGTTGGAGCAATAGAGAAAACAAAAATGTTATTAATCATCACTTTACATCAAACCTAAATGAAATATGGGAACTACAAGTATAATGTGATCAATCCTTCAACCATTTGCTAGAAATGCAACCGCGAAATTCAAACATTACTTTGGATTTTACAACACATGTTGGGGCATTTCTTAAACATTCTGCAGCTACACTTCTATAGGCTCTAACTAATCTTCTAGTTCCAAGTTTGATACGACCAAAATACCTACAACAATCGAGAAACATATCTAATAAAAATTTCATACCGAAGGATATACGTATCTCCACGGGCTTCATTCAGATACAAGCAAGTACATTTTTCATAATACACCCTTAACTATGAAAGTCATAGTCCCAAAGTAAGAATGTACATGCTTACATATCTTTAATTGTTAAAACTAGATTGGGAAAGCAAAGAATTCAATTCTTTACCTGATGACAACAACCATAAGTCTATCTTTCCCTGTAGAATCAGTGGCAGATAGTATTGTCTTGCATGTTGTACCGGACGGTTCACCGCCATCATTACTCTGAAAATTGGCTGCAGACCTAAAATTGTGGACCGGACATTTCAGTAGAGATTACTTTAACATGACATTTTTTGAGGTTCCAGCTCATGTTTTGCCTAATCGATTCATACCCAAAATTCAGAGTTGTCACTATTCACAATTACATGTATGACAAATGGTTCTTTTTTTACACCCACATTATAGATCGACATCTTTCTTCACTCCTCACAGTTCTGGGCAGACTCATTCCTATAGACTGGGCAAGCTGCACGCCGCCTCACCGCTTCGCACCACTTTCGTTGTCGCCTGTCCAACATCCACGACCCATAGTTGTTGTTCGGCTGAGACCCGTACCCTTTTGGGTTAAGCTAAACACAGACGAATCATTTGACTGACTTACTGGAGCCGCCAGGGGTAGGTCCTGATTAGGGATCGTAGCGGTGCTCTTATTACCGCCTTTCATGCCCCTCTTCAGGATTGCGCTTCAGATCTGTCTTCAGATTGCTGCCTCGATCTCCTCACATTGGATAGAGCTCGACGTTGCTGTCACCACCCTCTTGACCTCTGGCCATCAGGGCCCATGGCAGATTGAGCATCCGCTCACGCACATCAAAGCCACATTTCGATCGGTTCACTATCGAATCTCACACATCTTCTGCGAGGAAAACCGACCGTTAACTTTCTTGCTTGCATCGGGACCTCCACTCCCCATAGACGTGTTCTTCATCAGATGTCCCTCTCCATCTTCATACCCTTATACCGATGGACCGGATGGGCTACCTATCGTTAAAATTTAGGTAGTCGTCCCTATTTTTTGTGCCTCAACTCATGCGTGATGCTGACTTTTCGCCTGGACTCTTCTCGGGTTATGCTCAGATTTTTTTGTTCTAGATGTTGTGTTTTTTATTTGGTTGTTTGCGTTGTTTTGTTTTGTTGTACTTTGGATGTTTGGACTCGTAGACTCGTGATTTTTCATCCTATTTATGGCCTTTTATATACAGATTGAGGGTCCGACCTTAACCCCCACCCTTCCGGGTGTTGTTTCTCTAAAAAATAAAAAATTGTTCTTTTTTTTTAGTTAAAATAGAAAATGAATGCAGTTCAATCATATACACAGGGTTACAGAAAAATACACTCAACCACTGAATCCAACAAAATAGTCCGCAAAATTCCTGAGCTTTATAACTGTTCGAGCAAGCTAAGCATTATATTATATACAAATGCATGAAACACACACGCACACTGTTAGGAAAAATACGCTGAAATTTCCATGAAGTTGGATCTATAAAAGTGAAATAAAAATAAAAATTGGACACACCAATTTGATAACGGAGTTCGACCAATAATGCCTATGTCTCCGGACTACTGCAGATATTTTATTAGGAGAAAAGAAAACACTCGTGTTTACAAAGCACTCGCAAACTCACTCACAACTCACAACTCAAAAATACACACAAAAGATAAAACTGCTCCCTCTTCTCTCTTGCTCTATGTATTTTCTTTTATTGTGTTGGTGTATTCTGTCATCAGAATCCCCCTCAATTTATAGAGGGGGAAGTGTACAATTTTTCAACATAAGGCAGCTTTAGTTTTCAACATCCGGTTGCTACTCCAATTATTTAATAATGGTGGCTACCTATTTTTTTTTTCTTCATTTGTGTGTCAGAACATGTGGGCTTGTAGCCCCTTTTTAACTTCACAATCTCCCACTTGAGGACTGATTTCAATCTGTCCTCACCTCAATTACTGCAGTAGTCTTCTCCGGTCTGTTACTCTAGCAAGCCAACTGAAGTTGAGCACAACTTCAATTTGTCAATGGTCACCACCTTTGTTAGCATATCTGTTGGGTTCTTGCTTCCTACAATCTTTTTCAAAGTTAACACTTCATCCTCAAGCAGAGATCTGATGAAATGATATCGTATGTCAATGTGCTTAGTTTTGGAGTGAAACACTGAGTTCTTTGCCAGATGTATTGCACTATGACTGTCACTGTGCAAGACACTCTCCTTCTGAGTGAAACCCAACTCAGCTAACAATCCTTGAAGCCATATCAATTCTTTACTGGCTTCTGTCACTGCTACATACTCAGCCTCTGTAGTGGATAGAGCAACAATCTTTTGTATCCGCAACATCCAACTAACAGATGTAGCCCCGACAGTGAAAACATAACCGGTGGTGCTTCTTCGGTGATCAACTTCACCTCCAAAGTCTGCATCTACGTAGCCCTGTAACTTTAGATCTCATTTTCTAAAGTACAGACACTTTTCTGTTGTGCCCCGTAGATATCTCAAAATCCATTTGACTGCTTCCCAATGAGCTTTTCCTGGTTTTGACATAAACCTGCTCACAACTCCCACTGCATGGCCAATGTTTGGCCTCGTACAGACCATCACGTACATCAAACTTCCAATGGCTGAAGCATAAGGAATCTTAGCCATGAAATCTTCTTCTTCTTTTGTTTGAGGAGACTGATCCTTGGATAGACGAAAATGACTGGCCAAAGGTGTACTGACTGGTTTGGCCTTGTCTATATTAAATCTCTGCAAAACACGGTTGATGTACTCTGCCTGAGATAACTGCAAAACTCCCTTTTGCTTATCTCTCGTGATTTGCATTCCAAGAATCTTCTTTGTTGGGCCTAAGTCCTTCATGTCAAATTCTTTTGACAACTGCATCTTTAAATTTCTGATGTATATCATATTTGATCCTGCTACTAACATGTCATCGACATAAAGTAGCAATATGATATAGTTGGACTCATACTTCTTGAAGAAACAACAGTGATCAGCATTGCACTTCTGGAATCCTTCCTTGTGCATGAAGCTCTCAAACTTCCTATACCACTGTCTTGGAGCTTGTTTCAGGTCGTACAAGCTCTTCTTCAATTTACACACCATATCCTTCATTCCGTCTGAAAAACCTTTAGGTCGGTGCATATAGATTTCCTCATCTAGGTCTCCGTGAAGAAATGCAGTCTTCACGTCTAACTGCTCTGGATAGAGCTCTTCACTAGCCACAATACTTAACACAGTCCTGATAGTATTGAGCTTTACAACTGGAGCAAAGATTTCAGTATAGTCAACTCCTTCTTTCTGCTGAAATTCTTTGACAACTAGTCGGGCTTTGTATCTCCTGGAACCATCATGGTCTTCCTTCACCCGATACACCCATTTGTTGCGAAGTGCTTTCATTCCCATGGGTAACTTGACTAGTTCCCATGTCTGATTTGAGATCAAGGACTTCATCTCGTCCTTCATTGTAAAGCTCCCACTTGCTAGCATCCGGGGTTTGACAAGCCTCACAATAATATTCAGGTTCTCCTCCATCGGTCAACAACATGTAGTCCATGTATCTCCTGTTAGGTACATGGGGCCGAGAGGACCTTCTCAATACAGGAGTTGAAGTAGAAGGTTCTGATTG